CATAATGTATGTGTTTTTAACAAAGCATAGAAAAGGTATTAGTGGTTATAGGGAGTAAAAAAAAAAAAAAAATCCAAAATATTGGATTTTTATTTCATGTGCTTTTTAAATTTTCAAATTTTTCTTTATTGGATTTTTAATAAGATTAAAATGTTTTCTTCTATGTTTATAAGATTTGTAATTCTTCAATCCAATTTTTTAATTGTAATAAAATATATGTAAAATGAAACCTACCATTTCAACCACTTTTAAGTGTACAATTCAGTGGCATTAGGTACATTCACAATGTGGTATATAAATATCACCACTATCTATTTCTAGAAACTTTTCACCATACTAAAGAGAAACTGTACCCATTAAACAATAACTCCTCATTCCTCCTTCTCTCTAGTTGCTAATAATGTCTATTCTACTTTCTACCTCCATGAATTTGCCTGTTCTAGGTACCTCATGAAGGTGGAATCATATAGTACTTGTCTTTTTGTTTCTGATTTCTCTCAGCATAATGTATTCAAGGTTCATCCGTGTTGTAGCATGTGTCAGAATTTCATTCCTTTTTATGGCTGAATAACATTCCATTGTATGCATATACCACATTGTGTTTATCCATTCATCTACAGATGGGACACTTGAGATGCTCTACCTTTTGGCTATTGGAAATAATGCTGCTATGATCACTGGCATACAAGTATCTGAGTCCTTATTTTCAATTCTTTTGAGTATATACCAAGGAGTGGGATTGCTGAATCACACAGTAATACTATGTTTAACTTTTCGAGGAACCACCAGACTGTTTTCCACAGTGGCTGCATCATTTTACATTCCCACCAGCAATGCATGAGAGTCCCAATTTCTTCTCATCCTTGCCAACACTTGCTATTTTCTTTTTTTTTTTTTTGGGACTAGCTATCCTAATGGGTATAAAGTGGTATTTCATTATATATCTGTATTATTTTTATATAATAAAATACAGTAATGCAAATCATTTTCTATGTGTCAGATACTATTATGAACACATACAATTAATTCATTTAATCCTTACAAAAGCCCTATGAGGTGAGTACTATTATTAAACTCATGTAATAGATAATAAAAGTGAGGCACAGGGAAGATCAGTAACTTAAAGTTACGGGTACTAAAGTAGTAAGTCACAATAGGAAAAATATACAGAAAAGTGGAATGAAGATGAAAAACCCACAATCAGATCAAGAAGAGAAAAACAGCATTAAATATTTGGATACCTCTCCTACTATTTTTTTCGTGTATTTCAAAAACCTGAAAGCAACTAAATACATTGTGTGTTTTTCACTTACAAGCATCTGCCTATGTTAATACAAACTCACTGTGTACATTATTCATAAGATGCATACTATTCTTTAATTTAGAAATGCTGCCATAGACTTAATTCCTGTTGTTAGACATTTAGGTTGTCTCCTCTATATTTTTTCTTAAATTCTTTTTTTTTTTTTTGTCTTTTTTGAGACCAGCTGCACTGTGCTCAGCCAGTGAGCGCTGTGAGCGCACCGGTCATCCCTATATAGGATCCGACGGGCTCGGCCCTTAAATACATTTTTAAAGTAGGTAACCCATTTACATTATTTAAAAATCAAAAGTATAAAAAGCTTTATAATGAAAATCTCCCTCCTGCCTCTCCCCTACCAACAGGTAACCATTGACATTCGTTTTTAAAAACTCCATCCAGATATGTTTTTTTCCTTTTTTTTTGTTTACACAACCATATGATATCCCACTGTATCACTATATACTGGTTCTCTATTGATGGGCTTCTGGTTGTTTCAAATCTTTTACTATTACTAATATCTCTGCAGTACATAATCTCATATACATGACTTTTCCTAAGTGAAAATTTACAGAAATAGGTTTGCAGATAGAGCACAAAAGACCAGCCTTCTAAAGGGCAGGAACAATGTTCACTATCTCTTTTATATATGCTCACAGCCAGTACTAATGGCCTCCACACTTACAGATATACAGATCTGGGAAATGCCAAAGAACATCTCCACATAGTTTCCTTCAGTTCTTTGAACTTTTGTAATAGCTGATTTAACATCTTTGTCTAGTAAGTCCAATATCTAGGCCTCGTCAAGGACAGTTTCTATTGACTGCTTTTTTCCTGAGTAAGGACCATACTTTCCTGTTTGTGTGACTCAAATTTTTTGTTGCACTGTGGACATTTTAAATAACATAATGTGGCAACTCCGGAAATCAATATCACTACCTCCTCCCCCAGGTCTGCTGTCGTTACTGGCTTTTTTGTTGTTGCTGCTATTTGTTTCTCTAGTGACTCTCCCGGACAAATTCTCTAAAGTCTGTATTCTTCACTGTGGGCAACTATGGAAGTCTCGACTCAGCTTAGAGCTCAACTAAATGACCAGGCAGAAATCTTCTTAAATATTCTGCATGAGGAGGTCTTTCATCCTTTGCCAAAGGCTTTGTTGTGTGAATGGGCACACTAAAGCAGTATACATGTTTTTCTGTCAGCCTTCACTTCCTGCTTGCACAGGACCTCAAAGTCAGCCAGATGAGAGACTGGGGGCCTCTGAACTCTTCCCTGGGTACGTGCACAGTCCTACACGTGTACACGACCTTTTAGATCCCCAGTGTATTTTAAAGCTCACTATGGACATCTCATTCCCTACATCTCCCTTTTAAATTTTTGTCTAGGCTCCTATTTGCTCAACTGGTAACACAGGCTCAGAAAGCTAAAATGTTAAACAATTACAGCTGAGAATTTTAGACAAACTCCCTGGGGATAGAGATGTTCCCACAGAGCAATCTCTGAGGCAGGTCAAACATCAACTCCCTGAAACGGAGCTTTTCCAGAAAGCTGCAAGACAGGTCAAATAGTGACAATGTTCTGGGGATGGAACTTTTTAAGGAACTCAGACCCAGTCTGCCCTTCCAGAAGCTGCAAGGTTGCTGGTTATCACAGTTACCGTAGTTACAAGGCTGCTGATTCTCGAGGCTACTACAGATTTTGCAGGGGAAAGGGAGAATAAGAGTAGGCCAAGTTAAAATGCCACAAATCCTACAGTTTTTTTCCAAGGTAGGTACTGTGCTAAGTATTTCACTTCTCCTTAACAACCCTATGAGGTTAGAACTATTATTACCCAACTTTACAGAATAGGAAACTGAGGCATAAAGAAGCTAAAGTAGCTTCCTACAGGCTCCAGGTCTCATGGCTAGTAAACAACAATGTTGGTTTATAAACCATAATCTGATTCCAGAGTCTACCCTCAATTACTGTGCTGTGAACTACCCTTCATTTGTAAAAGAATAATTCAGTAAAACTAAGCTTAATTAAAAGTATAGCTGAATATGAACTCATATGAGGGAGATCAATTATATGAGGGTACTTCAACAAGTTCTTGGAAAGATAGAACTAAAAGTAAAATGAATCTTTCCATGAACTTTTAAAATACATATATTATATACAAATTATCAATGAGTTTTCTCACTAAGTTAGTTGTTCTCAATCCTGGTATGGATCGGAATCATACAGAGCTTTTTAAAAATATACCTGCAAAATTACTCTCTCTCTCCCTGTACCATCTAGAATAGAACACAGATGTCTACACATTTATAAGTTCTGTAGAGCAGTTCTGAAACTCAATCCCAAAAACAACTGCATTAGAACATAAAACACCTTAAAATCAGTACTATATCAACTATTTCATCACCCAGTTTCTCTAACAGGAGTTCACACACACAAAAGACAGTTCTTAAGGAACACAGCATACAGGAAAAAGCAGAGGCTTAGGAGTTAGAGACTTAGGTTTGGACTTAACCTTCTCATTTGCTGCATTATGACCCAGGGAAAATTAATTTCTCTGAGTCTTTAGTTTCTTCATCTACGAAATGGAGTGTTAAAAAAAAATCCACTTTAGATAACATATGCTGAAATGTAGTATACAACCAAATGGTAGTTGTTATAATTACCCTGAGACTGGAAAAAATTAGATTTAGAAATTCGGCAAATATTACTGAGTGCCAACCTGGACAAAAACTACTCTATGAGGTTGACTAAGTGATTAATAGTCTTTCAAGAACTCAATCTAATAAGGAAGAGGGGTATACCCTCTAAAAAGGAAAACTATGACAAGTGTTAGCATAGAGAGGCAGATTTAATATATCATGGAAAAATGGAGGAAGGAGAAATTCTGATCTAGAAAGTGTTCTTAAAAGTGCAATGTGAACTGTGCCTTGATAGAAGCATAGTCAGATATGCTGCTTGGACCTTATTCTAGATCAGTGGTTCTCAAACTTAAACATGCATCAGAATCACACAGACAAATAAGTCACACTGGACAGTTTGTCAAAACACACATTGCTGGGCCCTATCCGAGACCTTCTGACTCAGTAAGTCTGCAGTGGACCCTGAGAATCTGCATTTCCCCAATGATGCTGGTGCTAAAGGTCAAGGGAACCCTCTTTGAGAAGTACCATTCTAGACAGAGACAGTGCTTGAGCAAAACTGACAGGTAATATACAGGCTATGACTGAGGAAGTGTAAGATGGTAGTTGCTGAAACACAGGCTTTATACATGTGGTTAAGGAATATGGTTGGAAGTCTAGAAATAAAAACTTTCTAAATAAAATACTTTCTAGGATAAATTGCCCTTCCTAGGAACGTAAGCCAAATTAAAGATTAAGTTAAGACTTTTTAACTAACCTTTTGTGATATATCACATTTATAATCTCTAACCTGGTATCATCTAACTCCACTCTCTACCCTCAACTTTGCACCACACAGGTAAACAGCAAGGTAATGAGACCACAGTAGATTTCTGGCCACATAGCTATTTAAAAATATAAAGAACAGAAAAACAGTGTCATTCTATCATTTTTTATAGAGAATATAACACTAACACATCCTAAATATTTTACATAGCAAGCTATCAGTTAAAATTGTTCAAAAAAAAAGTTGAAACATATTCAATAGTTTCACTTACGAATTTTAAGAAATGTTCCATACTCACCAAAACCATCAATGTCTAGATTATTTTCAACCACAACATCTAGCAGAGAGTCACCAATTTTTCCTGTGGCTGTTAATGTTTCACCATCACGGTTTATGAAGTGGACTGTTATTTTATCTTCCGAGCTGGAAAAGGAAGAAGTCCTTCAGTAGTTTTAGTAAGTTCAAAACATAATTTAAAATGATTGTTTTAAGAACCTGTAAGATCAAAGACATAGCACACGTGCGTACTTGTGGGGGTGTGAGTCTATACTTTTACAGTATTTTCTTTGCAAAGTTTATTCAGCAAGAAGACACTGCAAATCAAAGGCTTATCTATCTACCCACCAACCAGGGGACAAGCTCTATCACCTTAAAGGAAATGGCAACTACTACCTGTCCAAGGCTACCTGGTGGTCTGCAGTATGTTCCTCCCCAGTGGTCAGTTATGTGAAAACATTTGGCAATCATTATCACTCATGAAGTCTATTTTGCTCTCACACAGCTTTCTGAAAAACAATGTCTCTATGAATGTGATCATAAATGATTAGACCAGGATGGGGTGAGCTTTAAAAAAGCAAATCATTCTGCTATGAACAGGGTGATTGCTATGCAAATGTCTGATAGGGTACTGTTGCTGAGAGGCAGCAGTTTGATAGTTTTCTGAGTATATGAACATCCCATTTCAGTCCACATTGTGTACTCAAACATCAAAGGCTTTTATTTATTTGCATTTGTGAAAAGAAAAAAAATACCTCCTTACATACTTATTGTAAGGTATTATATTATCTAGCCGTTAGCTGACTTAAATTTCTTCCCCTTCTCACAAATATCACAACAAAATTTGGGAAAAGAAATTATACTAGCAATTAGATCCTTATCTTCCACCATTGGTCATTTTAATTTTTATCTCATAATTGAAAAGATGTACTTCAAAACTTAAAATAACTACTTGTAATTTTCACTACTTGATAGTAATAGTCCAAAGAAAACTAAGTAAAACCTCAAATTAAATCATTTCATAGCTATAAATATCTTGGAAATTACCAAGGCCAATTATTTCATTTCACAAATGAGGCAACCAAAGTCCCCCCCCCACACACACACATTGGATAACGCCCTCCCTGATATTATAACAGTGGAATCTTGGAAATTACCAAGGCCAATTATTTCATTTCACAAATGAGGCAACCAAAGTCCCCCCCACACACACACACACATTGGATAACGCCCTCCCTGATATTATAACAGTGGAAAAAAAAGAGGATTCTATTAATTAAAAGTTAGCAAAAATGTGTGTGTGTGAATGCTCCTCAAAAGGGCCTGTGTCTCCAACTTCTTTTCATAGCAAAAAATGCTTTAATAACAAGTAATCTAAACATTACTCATGATTTGCAACTAGACAGCTGCCATTTTTTTCAAGGCACAATGGCTGAGAATGAAGATACCCAGGAGGCAGGAAGACCGCTATGGAGGTTATCAAAAGAACACAAACAAGGATGTGGAAGACACTGATGTAAGAGATTCAGGAGGTAAAATCAAAGGTTCTGGTGACCATCTATACAAGGCGAATAGAAAGAAAGAAGAAATAACAGAGACCTGCAGGTTCGGCAATTAGATGGTACAGTGTACCCCGGGGTTAAGAAAGGAGGAGAAGGAGCTTTGGAGAAGATGGAAATAACTTCAAGTTTAGACCTGCTTAATGTAATAATGGAACTCCAGAAGCCTGATTAAAATATGGGTCTAAGCCTAGTAGACAAGTCTAGAGATCTGTCATTGACAAATGCCTGGCGTCTAAAACTATGGGAAATATAATAGGAAGAATTCCACCATTTATACGTACTATTGAAACCCAGAGGCTTTATGATTGCTGTCCTTCTGGAGCACTCTAGAGCTAAGCAGCAAAAGAATTTGAAATCTGTTTTACATCAGCCTTCCTTTCTGTAAAATCAGGACAACATTTACCTTATATTTTTAACAATGTACGCAAAATACCTAATATATAGTAGAACTCAAACCCTGATTAACTTTTATTTAAAGCAGAAGCCCTTTTGCTGCTAAGAAGCCTGACCTGCTGCTCTGTACTAAAGTGTACAGCCCTATAAAAAACTGCAGAGTAAGAGTATTACTAGCTTTATTAAAGGACAGGAAAGGAAGCAGAAATGAGGAAAGGTAATTCTGTAGTTGAAAGAGTATGGAACCTAAGAGTCAGAACCTATAGATTCTAGTTCTGGTTCTAACATACATTTATTAGATGACCATGGGAAACCACTAACTTACTTACTTATGGCTAAAACGGCGATAACAATGACTTCAGCAAGCTTGAATTAAAGAATTTAATTTAAAGAACTTAATTTAAAGAATTGAGAATTAAAAGAGAAAGTCTGTGGAAATACTTTGTTCCTTTAAAGCATTAAACACTTGTACTTTACCTAAGTAACTTTATCCATTCACTACTAACAATTGGTGTTGGTGGGTTTTGTAGATTTTTTCCCCCCAGTTCTAAGAACTAGCAAAAGCTTTTAGCTGTTCCCAAGAAGGATAAGACTTCATGCACTGGAAAATAAACATGAACCTTCTAAATCTTCTGTCATCACCAATCAAACAGCCATCACCACAAACAAGTATTTTCTTCACGTCTTATCCTTTACTCACCTTATCATTTACCTTTACCATCCTTTACCATTTATTCTTCACCACCACAGCAGACATTTTCACAAAGCTGCCAAGGGTTGCTATGATGCAATTCTTAGCAGGCTTCTAACAAGGAAGTTAGTTACAGCTGCTGACACCCACCCTCTCACTATGTAGTGTAACCTGGGGCACTGGGCCCAAGAAAAGGGCCCAGTCTAGGGCTCCCTACTCCCATAGCTTCTCTAATGCTTTCATATACTTACTAAAGTATGGACTAAAGAATTATCAACTATTATGGTGCTCAAATGACAAATACACAGAAAGTACTTGAATTCTAGTCCTAGTTTTGCCAGATACTTCATATGAAAATTTTATTCCCACTTATGTTACTCTCCCCTCCCTCATAGGATTGTCTTAAGAATCAGGTGAAATAATTTATGTGAAAGCCCTCTGCAACCTAAATCACTGCAAAATATAAAGTACTGTGTCAGGGTTAGTTTGTTTCTTTTTTTTATTTTTTTAAGAATAAAAGGAAGGTTTTGGGTTTTGGTTTGTTTTTTTTTTTTTTAACTCTCAATTACTGATAGTTTATCTAAATGCTAACTTCAAAGTCAGAACTACAGCTTCTGGAACTGCTCTGTCCAATCAAACTTCCTGCAATAACAGGAATGTTCTATACTTGCCATGTTCAATACAGTAGCTACTAGCCACTATGACTACTAAGTACAGTATGGTACTTGAAATGTGGCTAGTGTAACTAGGAGACTGAATCTTTTATTTTATTTAACTTTAATTATCTTAAACTTCAATAGCAACATGTCGTTAGGAGCTACCATATTGGACAGCATAGGTCTCAGAAAACAGCAGCTGGAAAATCTAGTTGCAGCTCCAAAGTCTATAAGAAGTACAATGACGTTATATTAGGAACTGTACCAGCAAGTGGGAAAGCAGGATTATGAGGAAACAGAAGTGCTCCCTTTTAAGACAACTTGACATATCCAAATCCAAACAATAAACCTGGAGGAAATAATTCCCATTTACAAAAGCATTCATGTTCCCTTAAATATTAGCTAAACAAACACGTTCAATGCATGTCCCGATTTATACACAATTTTCCAAGAATGTATCCATTGTAGAAAGCAAGGCACCCACACAGGTGGAGTTCAAAGGCAGAAAAATAGGGACAAATCCTGCTTGCTTTTTTTATGACTTCACCCATAGTACGTGCAACAAAAATGTACTGAGCACCCACTACATAACAGAATTAAGGTAGAAAAAATGAATAAGCCCTAGACCCTGTTCTCAGGGACCTTCTCAAGAAGAAACAGCATACAAATCCAACACACTCTCTGTCCAATTCTTGTTTCCTGCTACACTATATCATGGGGTCAGAAGAGCTATTCAGAGATCTACATGTTATAAATCTCCACTACGTTGCTATACTCTGAAATTATGAATAAATTTCATCTCTAGTGCATCTAAGGGGACCGTGTCTTTCAAAAACCAGTATGCCCTGGAATATAAAACTTCACCACATTTGGGGAAAAATTTTCACATCTGCCAACATTTAATACAAAAGCTTAACACTGTGAGCCTAACAGGTGGCATCTATTGAGCCCTCACTTATTTGCCAGACGCAAGACCACCTGTATCACCTGTGTTATTCATTTATCCTTCAAATAACCCTATTAGGTTTATACTACTGTTATCCTCCACTGACAAATGAGGAAACTGAGGTTAATACGGATTGAGGAAGTTAAGGAAGTTAGACAATGCGTGCCAAAGTCCAGTTAAAACCCCTGCTCTACCACTCGAATGCAGAGGCTTTTATTAACCCTTTACCATCTAGAAGACAGCATTGGGCAGCATAGGGAATAGAGTGGACACTCTACATGGACAGTCCCCTGACAAAACTGAGTACAGAACGTCCTACCACAGCAAGAGAAAGGCCCAGAAAGAAACGGCTGGCAGGAGGGTCAGGCCGGGATATCAATACGGAACATCTCGTGAACGTCAATGCAGCTTCCAGGCACAGCATAAGTTAGATCCAGCCAAACCCGCGGCAGCAAGGCCCCGGGTTTCCCGAGGGCACAGAGGCGCTGGCGAAGGGAACTCGGGGATCCTGCCAGGTGTGGTTTCCCGCCAGGTGTGGGTGGTTCAGGGAGGAAGGAAACTTCGCGTGTGACAGAAAAGAAGCCGCGACTCCACCGAGCGGCAAGACGCGGCCGCAAAGCGCGTCCGGGAGAAGGCTGTGCAGGAGGGGGCGCTCCGGGGTGCGGGCCCAGGAGGCAGAGCCCGGGAGAGGCCTAGGGAGCGCGGTCACCGCCGCCGGGAAACCCAGCCGCCCGTTCGCGCCCGGCACGAGCCTCACCTGCTGCACGCCCGCGCCG